TTGTATCTCCTCAGTTTCAAGGCACTCCCCTTGTTGCCTCAGCCAGAATCAAGATCCTCGTCGTTGACATATCGAGTGACTTGCAGTTTCGTGGTACCACTTGGAAAAGAAGTCTCGAACACCAAGCTCATAACAATATGACAATATGAACTTAATAATTTAAGTAAAACTTATAGGAATCAGTTAAATAAGATTGCTCTGTTTACAGGTCAATATGTTTATGAGGCTTCATCATGCTTCATGTTTATATTCTTTCATCTGTCCCTGAAAAGTATAAAGTAATAAAACTTCTTATCATTTTAACTGCATGAATTTTAAAAACATAATGATCTACTTAATCTAGCAGATCTATTGATCCGCGCCGCTACTACTTAACCACGAGTTCTTCTTCTCTACGGCTAACGCTGTAAGGGACAAACCACGCTATTTAAGCCCTTGGCACAATGTCGTCGGCCATCACGCATGAATCGGGCATCGAGCGTTGTGAGTATCAAATATTATGGAATTTATACTATCACGACTCATGCGCGTGCTTCTAGTGGTGCTTCAGGAGCATTATTAAATAAAAACCTAACTACGCTTTTCGAGAGTCATTACGAATCGTCTCGCATGCAGACTCGACGACTTTCAGTCTCCCAAACAAGCCGGTTTCCGAAATGGCTTTAGCACCAAAGACCACATACATACCCTACGTCAAATTGTACAGAAGGCCGAGGAGTACAATCTGCCACTTTGTCTTGCGTATGTGGACTATGAGAAAGCCTTTGATTCCGTCAAAATTTGGGCGGTGCTGCAGTCCCTCCAATGGTGTTAAGTGGACTATTGGTGTATCGAGATGCTGAAGTGTTTGTACAGTAGGGCTACGATGGCTATCCGAGTACAGAGCCAGAGTACGAAACCTATCCAACTGCAGAGAGGTGTAAGACAGGGTGACGTAATATCCCCGAAACTCTTCACTGCTGCATTGGAAGACGTTTTCAAGCTACTGGACTGGAAAGCCTACGGTATTAACGTCAATGGCGAGTACATCACTCACCTTCGATTTGCCTACGATATAGTCCTTATGGCAGAATCGCTGGAGGACCTAAGCACTATGCTCAATGACCTCAATAGTGTCTCCCAACGGATAGGTCTTAAGATGAACATGGACAAAACAAAAATCATGTTTAACGTCCATGTCACACCTATGCTGGTAGTTGTTGGGAGCATTAAGCTCGAAGTTGTTGACGAATATGTTTACCTGGGCCAAAACGTCCGACTAGGTAAGTCCAACTTGGACCGAGAGGTCAATCGACGGATTCAACTCGGCTGAAGTGGTTGGTTCAGGCCGACATAGCCTAAAGAATTAGTATGCTGAACCACTTCAGCATACTAATTCTTTAGGCTATGTCGGTCTGAACCACTTCAGCATACTAATTCTTTAGGCTACGTCGGTTTCTCTCGAATATCCTCGTTTTTACCAATGGGCCACCAATGGGCGGCCATATAGCTCGAAGAACCGATAACCGGTGGGAAAGAAAGGTTCTCGAGTGCCAGCCTCGTACCGGCAGGCGAAGTGTAGTGCGTCCCCCCGCTAGATGGAGTGACGACTTTTATACGTGGTAGAGCCATGCTGCAGCTATATTGTGGTTGTAGCACGAATGGGTCGGCTCGACCGGGGAAGGACCACGCTCTCACAGAAAACCAGCGTAAAATAACAGCTTAACGCTGCTGTGTTTCGTATGGTGAGTGTAGAGAACCGGAGACCCTTTTTACTGGCAAAGAGGCATTCCATCTTAGTCCTCACGGGTGACAACGCATCTGCATCTTGAGTCTTTATTGAGGATAGATGTAGATGTCTATGGGTCACAGTAACCACTTACCATCAGGTGGACTGTGTGCTCGTTTGTCACCCGATCCTATAAAAAAAAAAGACGAAGGAAGTCGATGGATCGATGCAGGTGGCTCGTATCGTGCTTTGGGGCATTCCTTGGGGGAGGCCTATGCTCAGCAGTGGACACGTGACGGGTGTGATGATGATGACGATGAACTACACTAAAAGTTTTATCATTGTGACTTGAGAATATAATCCGAAGTTCCGAAGCTCCGCTCAACGCATTGGGGAAAATAGCGTGATGCTATGAATATTGTACTAGTGTGACTGTGAGACTGATGCGGTTGGTTAAGTAAGGCTATATATACATTTAATTTGGTTGATGAATAGATACTTCTCTTCTCATAGATAATCTCAAGATTTTTTTTTATCTTTAATGTACTACAGTTTTATAATGAATAAAAATGTCTCTATTTTTGTCTGAAGTTTTGAAAGTTAAATTTTTGAAGTCTTATTATAACAGTATTTTACTTACTGTTACAAATAATGTATGATTGTAGATTGTAGAAATTACTCCTTTTAATAAAATTGTTTTTATTCTAATTTTTCTTTTATACTTCTAAAAAAAAATGTTTGCAGCAAATTGTTGAGTTTTTTTTACATTCCAACCAACCCGTCCAATTAAACTTCCCCGTTATTTTTAATTATAGAATCATAAAATTACATTTTAGAACGCAAACCAAGGATTTATTTTCTTGTTGTGTGGGCAAGTCTGTCGGTTCATTATAAACATTGAAGATGAATATCGACATTAATTTTGATATAGTTGAGTCAAATAACATGTAAAATATTTTGTATAAAATATGATTACCAAATTCATGCAAATTATCAACAACGTGACTTTTTGCTTTACATAATATCAAAATTAACAAAATAATTGAAAACAATTGATAACATTGACGAGGTCTTGAGAACTTACCTGTGAAATGTGCAATTATCAGGATTATTTCTATTATTATCACCACAATTACTCACAGAACAAGTAACCATTTTGGAAAAAAGGTACTTACTAAAAATAATCACTATTACGCTCTAACTAATTACAAAATATCTAGGACAAAGATGTTTTATAGGTCCAGATACCGTGTTGCTAACATACCGCAACGTTCATAGTGAAGACAGTCTTTGATACATGTGTGCGTGAGTACCACGTGACGCGCATATCTTACGCACCATGGCTGCATTAATGTGCGTGACTTCGGTAATAACAGTGCGAATCGATTACCCAAAAAATGTGGGAGATTTTATATTTCATTCCTATTGACGTACCTATTGATTCTAAGAGTATAAAATGTGTGTGCGTGGCGTGTGCATTTGTGTGTGTGTGTGTGTGTGTGTGTATGGGAATATGGTTGCTTATGTGTGTTTTATGTAGGTACGAACATCGCACTAAAATATTGAAGATATGTAATAAAACCTATAATTATTGTAACAGTTAAAATAAATATAAAAGCACAGTAGATATTTATGTATGTAACATATATTTATAATCTATTATTACTAAATATATACAGAGTACTACACTTTTGTAATGTAGAACACAAAATATTGCCGCTTTTTACAAAGACATTAAATTATTTTTCAATCCTAAGTAAAATGACGAAAAAAAGTAAGTTTGGTTAAGCGTAAACTTCAGCCAAGAGATAGCAAAATGTTTAATTTTTTTAAATCGCTCCGTTCCGTTGCTGCGTGAAGGAAGGACAAAAACAAATAAACAAAAAAATCACACTTTCACATTTATAATATTATATTAGTATGAATTGTCAAGAATGATAGATAAACTTTTAAAACCGGTTTACAATCGGCTTTTTGAGGGTGGAACTATACCGGTTACTACTATAACGGTTCTGAGTGACCAAAAAGGATAGAAGCACAGGAAAGTGCAATTTCATGCTGCCAGATGTAGTTCAACCCTAACCCTTAAAACGGTTTAACTCTATAGGTTGGGTAAAATCTGTAAAATTAGACTGTTTAAAACCCCTATATAGATAACCTTTGTGGTTGATTATGACATTAAAAAATGGTAAAAACATTTCATAGACTAGGCAACACTCGAATATTATTGCGCAGTATTATTACTTGTATTGACATTTAGCTTTCGTATTCTTTTACAAAGAAATACATCATAAAATTGTATAGTTACTTATGAAAAGTGATGTTCTTATCCTTATCTTTTTTTCAAGAGTAATTTTTAAATGATTTCACAGCACAAAGTCATTTTGCGAAATTAAAAACACCGGTGCGTGACGTATGTTCACAACGATCATCGCTGGCGTAATGGCGGAAAGATCGAACGAATACGCCAATATTGGCGCCTTTGAAATGGAAGCGTTTTTGGCGCGCGTACACGGTATCTGGACCTATAAAACATCTTTGATCTAGGAGCTATTGCGTGCCGACCTGACATTCAAAATCGGTTACAGAGTCATGAGATTTGGTATCCCTTTTTTATCTTGCATTTTTGCCATAAGGAATTTTCTTCTCCCTTGCACACTATGTTGGTCTATACGCCAGTATATTCTAAATATATGACCTGACATGATCTCCCGCACAAACTAATAAGAAGTGCAATCTCCCTATATTTTTTTTAGGGTAACAACAATGAGCTTCATCATCAAAAAAACTTATCTAAGATTTAGCGGGAACTTCTTGCTAGATACTTATTAATCTATGGGTAACTTGATCGACGGCGTATTGCTGCGCCTGTATTATTGTTTAAATAATCGTTGAAGTAGATTTTGATATATAAAAGTGGTGCGATTCTGTGTATTAAATGTCTGCGTATGTGAAACATTAGTGGAAACGGTGAAACAGGTGCTACGTCAGTAATATGAATCGCCATTCGGCGTCTTGAGATACTATCGCCAACTGTCTGCTGGCTCAAGTTGATGTCAAAATCTCCCAACGACTGAGCAATGTGACGCATCAACATATTGTGAAGCAGTACTTTATAGGATTACTGACATAAATAAAGAGATGGCTTGAAAGACCTAGCATCCAAGCCAAAAATATTAATTATTAATAATAAAAAATAAAATATTTTATCTGTAACGCTGTCAGCTGTCACTGATTTCTGTTTGGAACAGCTGTTTTATATTTATTATTTATTTATGTTACGGACATAAAAATGAATGAAGAAATTGATGAATATGATATTTACCACCAGGACTTTACGACTGCATCTGAATGGGAAGTGTTTATAGCACGATTAGAGGAGGTTATTAGTGAGTGGCATTTGTCTAAATCGAAATTGCATAAACGATGTACAGAATACACTAAGAAGTGGTTGACGAAGTCAGAAGAATTCAAATTTAATGGCATCATTTTTACACTTTCCTTTCATATGCTGGAGCCAGCCAAAAACTCCTTTGATTTGGAAAACACCGATGATCAGTTGCTTCTTCCTGAATTACAAAGAGGATTATTGGATTCAGCATCTAATTTTATAGAAGATGTCGATGGAAGTCTCTTCCCTGTTTCTAATTGGTTTGGATTAAAAAGATATTTAATGTTAAACTCTAACTGTCCACTTGTAGATGGCAGTATAATAAAACTTGTTATGAGTTCAGTAAATATAGCATTTGCAAATGTCGATTGTGGTGTGCCTTTTTTTGTAAAAATCAGGGAACATTGGCAGCATGTCTATTTAGGTATCTATGAAGATAATGATATTAAGATTAACTTTGATACAATACACTTGAAAAGGATTTCAAATCAGTGCTCTCATCTTAGTGGTTTAGTGAGTCTGTTTAAGTCTAAGATTGCATCCCCTGTTGCTCTCGATGCTGTTCTAATTTCTGCTAAATTCTGTTATGAGCTGAAAGACTCCGATACATTTGCATGGAAGCAGAGAACTTTGTCAAATGAATTCTTATCAATTGAAGGCTTTGATGTAAAGAAACTGATAGAACTTCCATTTGGTGCAGAAAAGAATCCTATACATAGTGCCTTGTTAAATACAATTTGGCCTCAGTTCCGTGAGAGTGCTATAGTTGATTCCTCCACATTTTCTGATATTGATCCAATAATGGCTCCAACTTGGACTATAACTCTCAAGTTAAAAAGCAACATACATTGTCAGTTATCTGAAATTATTAGTAAGATGATGGAACTATTAGATGAGAAAAATTTACTCATGGATATTTTAGGATTAAGTAAGAGCTTAGGTTTGATCAATCCATTGCATAAAATAACAGAAGCCCCCATAACAATTTCCAAACTTGTTAAAGCTGCTATGGGTCAAAGCTCAAGTATCACAGAGTTTAAAGGTCCTATAACAGATGATTTGTTGATGCCACTCTTATACTATGTGTTTCCGGATGCAGTTGAAAATAGTACTTTTACATATCCTTCACAGCTAGATGTGGAATCTAAGCAAGTATGCAAACATATTGTTTTATATAAATTATATTTGTTAACTCCATGCAGTTTATAGCTTTTTTGTCTTTTATTATACATATAAGTGAAAATGGAGAAGTATAAGTCTATAATTGGCCATCTGCACCATAAATGTATTGTTTACAGGCTACTAATACGACTGTGACTAATAATTTTCTTCCTTGCATTCACTTGTATTTGGATTTTGTACATGGTAGAGCCATGCTGCAGCTATATTACTGGTATAGTTCTAGCACGAATGGGTCAGCTCAACCACGGAAGGACCACACTCTCACAGAATACCAGCATAAAATAGCTGCTTAACGCTGCTGTGTTTCGTATGGTGACTGTAGAGAACTGGAGAGCCTTTGTACTGGAAACGACGCATTCCATCTTAGTCCTCACGGGTGACAACGCATCTGCATTTTGATTTGAAATCGAGGATAGATATATGTAAATGTCTATGGGCCACAGCAAACACTTACCATCAGGTGGACTGTGTGCTCGTTTGTCACCCTAATCCTATAAAAAAAATTCACCCAATTCTTCATATTATGCAGATTGGATGATTGCAGTACCTTTATTGTTTATTGTTTTTTTTTTTTACAAAAGTATCTCCATGCTGATGCTGAATGCTGAATGATGAAGTTTCGAATTTAAAGAGATGGAAGGAATACTTTGAAAGCGTGTTTAAGAGTGAAGAGTCGTCTGAAATAAGTGAAATAGAAATTCCGGAAGAAGTGGAGAGAGGTAGGGAGATAAGTGTAGATGAAATAATGAAAGCAATGAAAAGCATGAAAGCAGGTAAGGCAGCCGGATATGATAGAGTATCACTCGAAATGCTAAGGGCTGGTGAGGGTGTGGTTGCAGGCCTGCTGCACACCTTGTTTAATTTATGTTGGGAACTGAAACGGGTACCGGAAGACTGGTGCAAAGCCGTTATAGTCCCAATATATAAGGGAAAGGGGTCGCAGCAGGACTGTAAAAACTACCGTGGTATCAGCTTGCTTAGCATTGTGGGTAAACTGTATGCTAAGGTATTAATTGAAAGAGTTATGGAAGAAACTGATGGAAAAATTTGGGATGTGCAAGCTGGATTTAGAAAGGGGATGGGGTGTACGGATCAAGTCTTTTCCATGCGCATGATAGCGGAGAAGTTTTTGGCTAAAAACCAGAAAGTTTTTTGTGCGTTCTTGGACTTGGAAAAGGCTTATGACAGAGTGGACAGGAACGTGTTATGGCAAACACTGAACTCATTTGGGTTGAGCGCTGGCTTGATACAGGCATTAAGGTCTCTTTATAGGGACTCTAGTGCTTGTGTCAGGATCAACGGGGTCTACTCGGACTGGTTTGGCATTCATAAAGGTGTCAGACAGGGATGTGTGGCTTCCCCGTGGCTGTTTAACCTATTTATGGACAGTTGTTTGCAAACTTTGAAAGTTGAAGAATGTGGGTTGAGAATGGGGGAGTCAACCGTCAAATGCCTTTTGTACGCCGATGATCAAGTCATATTTGCATCGTCGGCGGCCGAGTTGCAAATGATGGTTACTTTAATGAATTGTTCATTGAAAGAAAGGGGTATGAAAGTGAACGCAAGTAAGACGAAAGTGATGGTTTTTGAAAGAGAAGAAAGTAAAACTTTATGTAAAATAAGAATAGAAGGGGAGTTGATTGAGCAAGTGGATGAGTTTGTATATTTGGGATGTTTATTTAGCAGGGATGGTAGATATGATAAGGATATAGAACGACGAGTGAACGCAGGAAATAGAGTGAATGGGGCTCTACACGCTATTGTGAGGAGTCAGAATGTGTCAACTAAGGCACGTATGGCAATTCATAATGCTGTGTTAGTACCCACTTTAATGTATGGTAGTGAAAGTTGGGTCTGGCAGAAGAAGCATGAGAGTAGAATAAATGCTGTAGAAATGCGTTCCTTAAGGAGTATGCTAGGGCTGAATCTGAATGACAGGGTGAGAAATAGTGTAATAAGAGAAAAGTGTGGTTTGCAAGATGACGTTGTGACAAGGATTAAGAAAGGAATGCTTCGGTGGTTTGGTCACGTAGAAAGAATGAACGAGGAAAGAGTGACAAAGCAAATTTATGTTGCAGAAGTGAACGGCAGGGTCGGGAAGGGACGCCCTAGACGAAGGTTTATCGACCAGATCGGCGATACATTGAAAATGGGCCAGATTAGGAGTACCCTTAACCGACGAGCGTGTATGCGTAGATATATGGATGTGAAAGAGGCGAGAGAGGTGTGTCAGGATCGCGCCAAATGGAAGTCCGTAGTCTCTGCCTACCCCTCTGGGTGACAGGCGTGAGTGTTTATGTATGTATGTATGTAAAACTATCTCCCCACTAGGATTTTCTCCTGTATATGTAGGCTATAGAAATACTTGTTCCGTGCGGGATTCGAACCTGCGGCCCTTGTCGCTGCAACTTATTGCTAAGCCACTGCACCACGGAACCTTTAACGCTAATGTTTGTAAATGAGATGTCTATACCAATAATTTTTGATACGGTCCAAGACCATCGGCTTTATAAGCATTCTGAGACATGAGAGTTAAACATCACCAACTTCCTGACCCCAGGCTGCTACTGAGACTTTCTTGATAGAAAAACTCTTTAACTGAAGAAAAGTTCTTGAGTGGTAGCCTCATTCCATTAAGCAAAGTGTAGGGTTGCCCCCCTTTGGATGGAGTGACGACCTGGTAAGAGATGAAGTAAATGGATGCAGTTGGCTCAGGACTGTTTGTGGCATTCCTTGAAGGGTTGTGATAATGATGAGGAACCCAATCTGAAATTCAAACCTGGGACCACACAATCACTCAACTCACTCAACAAAGGGAAGCCATATGACATTAGACACTTAGATAAATAATTGGGGAGTAGCATCCATAGTGTACCTCTGGTTCTGCCACACATGGTGGTCATGCCAAATCCAACATAATACTCTTTAGAAGTTATTGATGACAACCAGAGTATAGAAATAAATATTGAAAATTGCAATCATAATATGTTATAGATTCTTTATCTTCCAAAGACAGGTGTGAGTTACTTTTAGTTGTGATGTTTATAAACATGTGTGCTTGCTGCATTACTGCAGGTAGTGTTAGATATGTAAAAGGAAATTTACAGCTTTTATATGTTCCTCTCTGCTTATTTTTGGGAAGGATTAAGTGCAAGGAAGTGTCTGCTGTGCTGCCTCAATGCCTGTTGGTGGATTTCAAATCTTTTCAATATTTTTTTAATTTGTTAGACATACAAGAGCCTTAGTAGCTCCGCCGTAAAACACTAGCACTTGGGTTCTATCCCCGCCGGCACCACCGGCAAATTGTTCATTGCCATTTTTAGTATGCATGCTCAGCGGTAAGGGAAAACACTGTAAGGAAACCTGCATGTCTAAGAAATTGTTCAGCTATGTAGTGAAATAAAATTATTATTCGTATCAATAAAAACAATTTATTTACATTAACACATGGACATATAAATAAAGTCTTTATTATATGTCTATGCATTAACATCACAGTTCGATCATGATTACTGCATGAATTCATATTGTCTTGTGAAAATGACTTAGTGATCATTTAATAATCTTAAAATAAGCAATACGTAACTAGATACACTTACATGTTACCCCGTTTAGTGGCGGTGATAGAATATCAACTACCCCATATTGTTCCGTGGGTGTCGTAAGAGGTGACAAAGGGAAACAAACCAGGAGATGGGTAGCAGAGTCTTCTTGATAACAACTCAAAATTATAAAAAAACTGCAGTTGTCAACCCGCTTGCCAAGTGTGGCAACTATGGCAAAATCTCCCTTATGAGGCAATCTATGGGGGAGGCCTATGTTGAGCAGTGGACTTTTATTGGCTGTGATGGATGGATGGAAGTAGGTGTTACAGTCGAACTAACACTGCTGCTTAACAAAGGACATATTATTTATTTTCTTACATCACTGCGAACAATTTTTCGCCATTTACTTTCCATTCTTACGGTGCTCGATAATAATTTTTGACTCTCGAGCACACACAAACAATGTCACCATCGCTTAAGTAAGACCAACCCCCCATTGCGATATAAAAATACTATATAGTGTTAAATGTTTTAAATTAATCTTTTTGTAAAGAACTATAGAAGTGTTTTGCTTTCTAGAATGATGGCAATGAGTCAAAACTATGCAATTATGTGAAAACAAGTCCTGAAGATGGTCTAGTCTGGAGGCTGTCTGTAACAGCTGCCCGCCTTTTAGATGCTGGTGGACTACCATACTTAGCACATTTCTGGTATGAGTTTGTGCAAGAGCTTCAGTATCGATGGGAACATCGGATTCTTGTGCCAGGGTAAGTGAAAATTTAAATAAAGTATTTAACTTTGTTTTTACACCGGTGGTCACAGTTTAATAAATATTTTGAAGTAAGTGAAGTAATAAAGTGACTCACTGCTTTTAATATCATTGTATTATTGTAAATTTTCTGTACATATTTTAAACAATATACAATATTTTGCATTAATGAGGGCTAATAATTTTCTGTTCACCAGATGTCGCTAGTTGACACTGAGGTAAAGTTTTTTGTTACACAATGTCATTTAATTGAGAAATTAGTTTTAAGTAAAAGTTTATCAGTTTCTAGAGTATTATATTAATATACAAAACAATGCCTCATGCCTGGTTTGCACATTTTAAACATTTTTTAATTTTGCTACTTTTATGAATATTTGTGATTTGGTTTATGTATTTTTAATCTTATTAATATAAAATATAGTTAATAGTACAGAAAGAAACATTAACCTTTACATTTTCCGAAAAATATAACTTCCCCGCTATGAAATCTGTCAAATACTATACTTACCTTACTTTTAACTGGCGCCGCCCTGGTGGCAGAAAAAGTCGTGGATGTCCTCAATAAAATAGCACCATTAGGATTGCCCTTAAATCACTTTCATTCTATTATCTTACAGTAAAAAGTTGTATAGCTAATAATTTAAAAGTGCTTAGAATATATTTATATTTTATTAAATCATTTGCCAATTTGTCATTAACATATGTACAATCATATACTTAGTTTATTCAAGCAAGGCTAATAGTAATTTAGCGTAAATTTTAAAATGATGAATATTACGATCATTTTAACTATTCTTTATTTTTCAACATACCTTTAATATACATATTATTTACAACTTTAATTATGAAGGGTATAATATGTAAGAGGACGAGGAGAAGAGTGTCTATCAAAAGATAACATTCAAGTAGTTCATTGAGGGTACCCAGAATGGCACTATATAGTAATCAATCTGGGTCAGGTCTGAACTTGGTGATTAACAATGAAGTGAAATATGTCAAAGGGAAATATAGCTTGCTCGTGACTGATGTGATTTATTGATACAGTCAAAAGTTGCACAAGTAGTCGCAAAAGTAAAAAGAAAGAATAAAGATTATTGTAGATGTTTATTTATTTGTTTGTCCGATTGATTGTGCCCTATTTTTGGAAATTTTACTACCGTAATGCCATCTTAAATTTAGTCGTCTTCATAGACACTTTCTATACATGCAGAGTCTTCCTTACTTCTACCGTCCATAACTTTAATTTAAAAACTCGAATACTTAAAATTAATGTATCATAAATATTAAAAATATTAAATAGCATAACATAAACCAAAAAATGTGACCTGTTTTAACTCAGTGAAAATCAGTAAAAATTTATGCTTGTTTCATATTATAATAATATGTACATTTTCTTTTCTTCATAAATTATTTATTAATATAAATTATATTTTGTGTAGTGCAGTGAATGGAAATTTATTGTGACTAGCAGTATGTTTCACTTTCTAAACATAATGTTTGCCTTGGCGTAAATATTATTATACGACATAATTATTTATATTTATTTTATATACCTTTACCTCGATTTTGAATGGTCATAGTTATATACAATATACATTACACATGTAATGTATAGTTATTTGTAAAGTTATATTTAGGAATACATAAAATAGTACATGCTTCTTCTACTTTAATCATGTTATTTTACATTTCGAAAGTAGAAACTTTCAATAATGAAAATGTACATTTGGTCATTCTCTCATACTTATAATCCAACTTGTAAACTTTACACAGTTTTAAGTTCGAGTGGATTTGTATATTTTTATGGTATAACTTACTTAACTCTTAGTAGCCATCACATATTTAAAGAGTACTAATTGCAACACTATTTAGTTTCAAATTCAAACTATCTTTGTTGACGTGCAATGTTTTGATATTTTATTACCAATATTTAAGTGAGTAAATAAACTCAACGAAATCCCGTGTTTATGTTACTATCATATCTTTCCCAAGTCTGTTCAATGAAGTTTTTGCGTTTCGCACGGCCATGACGGTTTGAGCGACGGCGTGGGCGATTACTGATGCGGCCTTCATGCGTGCACCACGAGGTGCAAGTTGAGGTGCCCTTCAGCAGCGTTGAGCAGCGTCCGCGCTGCGTCTCTTCTCTCCATACCGTGCCCGTGTCCTTTTCGCGCTATAACGGCACCAGACCGCCTCTTGCTGTTGGGTTTCGCGCCATGTATATATCCATATCGTGATCCGTCCAGTTGTCGGAAGTGTCGCAATAGCCTAATCCTATAGAGCCGACGCTATATCGGCTAGCTGGTCGCGAACGCGACCGCGGTCTTCTCCTAGAGCCAGCAGTACCACCGGTCGCTCCACCGGCTGCACCGCTAAGTGACAATCGAGACGCTCGTTCCGAAGTTGCGCCTAACGATTGGCGTGATTGGCGAAGATCTAGAAGGGTAAGAGAAAGTTATAATGCTAATCGTCGAATTCTTTACAAAGTCATTAAAGAACGTCTTCAAAAGCCCTTTATTTAATGTTTAATAAGCGTTACTTACCGGCTCTCGATCCTAACAAACTGCCTGGATATCCCGGCGCACCATAGCGATTGGAATGTGAGTGACTATGTTGGGATTGACCGTCTGCAAGGGAACGAGTACGGCCTGGTCGGCCTGGTAAGGGATCCGGAGCAGCCGGTTCTGTATAGGTACGTGCGCGGGGGATCGAACGTGCACTATAAGCTGACACTTGATCCCACTCACGCTGCTTTCCAAATGCGCCGAGCGTTGTCAATGAAGATAGTGGCCCGCTGGGACTCGGCGTTCCAGGAAGACCGCCACAGCAGGTGCTAGGCATCTTCTCTGGAGTGTGACTATGTAGCCGCACGGCCCGTGATCGGCGTCGCGATGCCACCGCAAAGATTAGGACTGCAACCACGATAGTACCGCAGATAGCTGCACTTGCAGCTATTGTTATTTTATCCATGTTGGATGCGGCCGCCGATACTGTGCGTACTTCTCGACACTGCGAGTATGGTACTGTCTCGGGACTCACATGCACTTCTTCCAACGAGATTACACAGACAACGATACACTCCTGCAACAATAGCATTGTATTAGTAAGTTAAAACAATCTTCATGAATAAATTGAATGAAAAAAGTTTACCTGAGATGGAACATTTTTAATTTTGAATTCTCTCTCGCTGGCTTCTAATGGTGGTCCCTGCTTGAAGCTTTTGTCTCCAAATAGTCTATATACTACACGGAAACCGAGTATATTAGCGACATCTGAATCCCATTGTATTATTACAGAATTGTCTTGTCTGTATGCATTTTTGACAATGACTTCGTTCGAATCGTCTATTTTTGGCTTCTGTTGGGGAAAGTTCATAACTAGTGGAGGTCGTTGATTAGAAGGATGCCGCCAAGTAGGTGCGGCTGGTTTTATGGAGGATATGCGATTTGGTCGTTCGCTGCTTGTTACTGTTGTTTGTGTGGTTGCTACTTTAGCTGTAGTGTCTTCACTAGGACCTGAGCTAGAAGGCACTGTCGTTGTCGAACTGCGTGCAACTAGCGTCGGAACAGTGGTTCGGACGCTAGTTGTTGAAGTTGTCGTTGGACTTGTTTTAATATTGATGTCTTCTTTCGCTGTTGTGGAAGAAAGAGCGGGGCTCATTGTTGTTAAGTTTGGCGTAACCAGCGGCGTTGTGGATTCTTGCTCGCAAACAAGTTCATTTGGTTCAAAACTGTAAAAGCCACGATCCCGAAAGCGCGCTGGATGTCCACAAAATTGAGGATTTCTTTCACGAGAGGTAACTTGTAACTCACCGCTACGTATCCATTCTATTATCCAACGGAGACGACAATCACAGTTTAAAAACCTTCCTCCTACACTAAGACCTCGTAATGTGTGGTTTAAATGAGCTAAAGCTTTCTCTGGAACGGTAGGTAAAGGGTTTCCGTCTAATGCTAACAAAGTTATTGAAGGATTCTTAAGAAAAGCATCGTAAGGTAGTTTGTTTAACAAATTAAATCCAATATCCAACACTCTTAGTTCGGTTAAAGTTCCAATGGCAGCCGTTGGGAATTCTGGTAATAAATTATTTAGCAAGCTCAATGAACTTAATGTATTTTTAATACCGGTAAAAGCGTCTTCTTTTAAATTTACTAATAAATTTCTCTCTAAATTAAGTGCTGTCAAAGAACTTAATCCTTCGAAAGTGCGACTGCCATCAGGTCCTGGTAATTCTCTGATACTGTTTTGAGATAAGTCGAGGAACGCTAGACTACGTAGGCCTTTTATGCATTCTGGGACAACCTTCTGCCTTGTACCCTTCAAATTCAGATTTTTCAAGGAATTTTCCAAACCTGTTAATGCTTGTGGTTCTAAAGTTACATTGTTATCAGATAATTTTAATGTTGTTAATTTTTGGAGGGTAATGAACGCGTGGTTTCCAACACGCGTTATCCTGTTTTTCGATAGATCAAGCAGAGATAAATTCGTTAAAATTCTTAGAGTCTTAACTGGTAATTCAGCTAATTCATTGTCCTGTAAGTTGAGGTTTTTTAAATATGGACCTTGCCCTCTAAATGCATCGTCTTCTATTCTTTTCATTTTGCAACCAGATATCTGCAAGTTGTGAATTTTGAGGTTTGCAAACATGTCATCACCGAGTACGGGGATGCTTGAATTGTTGATGTAGAGTAAGTCTATTGAAATTTTGCGCGCGTTTGAATTTAGCGCTGTCAATAGCATTGCGAAGTCGACCTGAAAAATAATTGTAAAACAACGTTAATATCACGACCATTGAAAATTATTAACATAGATTTACTATAGGCGTATTCACAAACATTACTTTCATAAGTATAGAAGTATCCTATGATAAGTAAGATGTTTCTCAGTGCATTTAATATGGCAAGCTATTCATTGAACAAACAATTCTCACGGGACGTCCGCACAGCATTGAATGAGGCGTTTTGGTGGGTTACCGTTCTGATGCAAATTACTCGCACATTAATTTACAATTGCCGTTGGCTTGGCGATTGTAGTTTTTTTTTTATAAGATAGGGTGACAAACGAGCACACAGTCCACGTGGTGGTAAGTGTTGCGATTACGAATCACAATGCAGATGCGTTGTCACCCGTGAGGACTAAGGTGGAATGCCTTGTTTCCAGTAAAAAGGGTCTCCGGTTCTCTACACTCATCATACGAAACACAGCAGTATTAAGCTACTATTTTACGCTGGTATTCTGTGAGAGCGTGGTCATTCCCCCGTCGAGCCGATCCATTCGTGCTACAACTATACTACTAATATAGCTGCAGCATGGCTCTACCACGTAAAAGTCAGCATCGTCGTAGCCAGCTATCTTAGCTAGCTATGACGATGCTGTCCGTCGACGGTCTTTGTATTTTATATTTGACTATCTGACATATACGAGATGTTTATACTGTCATCTATAAGAGGTCATTCCATTTTTGTTAGCGTTTTCCATGCTTCTTTTTTAAGACACCCACGGGACTAAATGGGGTGACAGATTCTCTTTCGCCGCCTGCTTGACGTGGTATTTATTTACAATAGAAAATGTTTGAAATAAATATTTGAAACAATACCTGGTCACATTGTACAGATAAGTCCCGTGCTAAGTTGAGGGCACAGACACAGGCTGATTGTAATATTGGCGTATCTTTCCAAGGACATTGTGCTTGAGCGTATTTTAGCGCCGCTGCTAAGAGCAATGATGCCCACCATGACCGATTACTTTTGAGGGCGTGAAGTTTCTGAAAAGATAAAAAAAATATTTTAAGTTTATGATATTAACTATAAAGGAACTTATAATCCTGTATTTTTGAATCGTATATTTGCAGTTATAAGTAATAGCATATATTCTTGAATATTTCTCTTTTTATAAATTTGAGAAAATGGTCGTGTAAGCTCGAAAGAAATCTTTTGATACGCGTAAATTCTAAATATATTCCGCAGAACCCAACATTTATATTTCTTAAATTATTTTATATTATAGATATACGACGTTATAGTGAGAAATGAGCACACAGTCCACCTGATGGTAAGTGGATGTTGTGGCTCATAGACACATAATCTATCATCGATTACAAATTAATAATTTATGTCAATCAATTCAAATAAAAAGAAATATATACCAAGATACGATCAAAATGCAGATCCGTTGGCACCCTGAAGACTTAGATTGAATGACTCGTTAAAATTAAGTGTCTCTGCTCAGGTTTTCTTTTCTACGCTCACCATACGAAATACAGCATTATGCTGCTATTTCATGGCAGCAATGTAACACATCGTTTTTTGTAAATAAGCTCCCGCAAAAAAAAAAAACGGGCATAGAACCTATTTTATTGTTACTATTAGATTGTTTGATAATTTAAGGTAGTCTTATACTCAGAATTTTGTAATTTAATCAGCAAGGAACAGTATTCTTCAGTTTTATCATAACAGTGTGATTAAATTAGTGAGAAATAATGTTAATGTTCAAAGCGCTAGTAGTTGTGTGCTAATAGTACCTGCTCGCTAAGTAAAAATGGAAAACTTATTTCTGTTTGTTTTTTCTTTAATGAAGTGAAATCACATATAAGTTTAGTATGGAGTATGACTCCCTCTTGCTGAAATCACAGCTAGCATTTGTCTGGGTATACTAGCGATCATATCTCTTAGGGTATATATATGACGAAATATGTTCCCGATCCGCGGTAATCACATTCTTTAGCTCTCCGTCTGCGGAGCCGGCTCTCGGCACTCGTCGTGTTAGAACGTCCCAGACATGCTCTATGGGCTTTAGGTCAAGACTTAGAGCTGGCCAATCCAAATTACTAATTCCGACCTCTAGTATATACGTTTCCACATCGTCAGAACGCTAGGCGCGAGCGTTGTCTTCCATAAAAATTTAGTTTTCGCCAACACCGGCCAATGCGAGTTGTGATCCGATTTTATTCCTGACCAAAACATAGCACCAGTTTTCACTGTACAAAGATATCCTTGGCTTCATCGGAAAACAATACCCTATCCCGGTCTTTTTGAGTCCATGATACACAGTTTCGGGAGAAGCTAAGCCTAGCAACTTGGTGCTCACGGAGTAATATAGGGCGCGATAAGTGATGATATTGGCAGCGAGTAGCGTCCTCCTGACCGTCCATACACTAATTTGCACATTTCTTACTTCTTCGAGGTTGTTATTGAAGTCCACATTCGAAGATTTGCGATTTCTCAACGCTTGACTCACCAGAAAACGATCATCCCGTAGTTCGGTACATGGATTTGTTCCAGAACCACGCCTTATCTTGACGGAACCGGTCTCTTAATAGCGCTGCCAGGTTCTTTGGACTGTAGAACGACTCACGTTACACATTAGCCTCTGAGCCACGAATCATTGGCTGTAACCCTCCTCAAGCGGCACACTTTATTTACCATTTTCGAGACCGCTTAACAGCAATAACAATGTTATAAAATGTTAAGGAAATGAGATAATTCAATAAAAATTGACTAAAAGTTATTTAGTGTCGATATAAACTTTTCAATTCGACGATAAAACCAGCTTCTGGCAAAAATTTGAAATTGGAACGTACTTTTTTAAACACCACGGCACAACCGGCTAGTAACGTGTTTAAATTATTAAAACCTTTTTCGTATTGTGTTTTATTCAGGCAGGAAAGAAATCAAAACCGCCCGTTTTTTTTATTGCAAATTAGTTTATTTATTTATTTATTTATTACAAGATCCACAGCCCTAATTACAATGTAAATGAACTTAAGAAATAAACTTACAGCCAATAACGGATCTACTTTATACATTTTTTAACTTAAATTAATCGACCGACAATCAATAAGTAATTATAGTTTATAATTACTTGTTTTGTAATGATTTCATAAGTTTACGGGAACAATACATATTTAAATAAAACTAGTTTTTTACAGATTTTATTGCGTATATTTTATAAAACTAGTTTTATTTAAATACTCGTTTTGTTTTCCAATTAATGGACTCTACCCGTGCCTTATGTTACGCTAAGATACAGTATCAGAGAAATGGAACAATCAAATTTGCACAAAGGTTGGCAGTTGTGTATCGCTAGCAACGCAAAGTCGGGAATTTGTATTTGGAATAATCCAAAATTAGGGGCTTTTTAGTTGCTAATTAGGTGCCAAGTTTAAAAATTTGGTGCTCTAAAATTTTCACCGCAACGAACTGTTAAAATTTGCGTTGCTAGCAAAACGTCTCGCTAGCAACGCAATGAAGTTATTAGATATACGATAAATATTAATAGCAAGAAATTAAGTGCTAATTAGGTGCTGCAAGTATACGCAATAACAAGGCGCCCCTAATAAAAATAAAGTCGTTATTCTGAACATAGCAGATGCAAAATTCAGATTTCCTGAAAATCAAAATACAATCAAAATTGCTTTCAGAAAAAGTTCAAATTAGGGGCTTTTTAGGTGCTAATTAAGTACCAAGTTTAAAAATTAGTTGCTCCAAAATTTTCACCGCAACGAACTATTGAAATTTGCGTTGCTGGCAAAACGTATCGCTGGCAACGCAATGAAGTTATTAGATATACGATAAATATTAATAGCAAGAAATTAAGTGCTAATTAGGTGCTGCAAGTATACGCAATAACAAGGCGCCCCTAATAAAAATAAAGTCGTTATTCAGAGCATAGTAGATGCAAAATTCAGATTTCCTGAAAATCAAAATACAATCAAAATTGCTTTCAGAAAAAGTTCAAATTAGGGGCTTTTTAGGTGCTAATTAAGTACCAAGTTTAAAAATTAGTTGCTCCAAAATTTTCACCGCAACGAACTATTGAAATTTGCGTTGCTGGCAAAACGTATCGCTGGCAACGCAATGAAGTTATTAGATATACGATAAATATTAATAGCAAGGAATTAAGTGCTAATTAGGTGCTGCAAGTATAGGCAATGACAAGGTGCTCCAGATAAAAATAAAATCGTTATGCAGAAAATTATTCAGTAAACCAAATGCAAAAATCAGGTCTTTGTGTTTGTGCCATCTAGCGTCTATCGTACTTACCACCTTGATAGTCCATCGATTTTGATTCGATAAAATGACTAGAACTATAGAACGTTGTAGATGGCGCTATTTATTACAAAGCAATTTACTGGAAAGAAAATATCCTTTCGATTTAGTACACTAAAGTTTAGGCTTCACCTGTCTAAAAATAAGAATAGTAACATTTATTTAGTTGAAAATTATATTAAATAATATTATAGATTATATTAAATCTGAAAAACATAAAATGCCGTTCATACCTTATAGTAATTGTGGTTTTGAATCCGATAATTTCCAGAATATTACCGTCATCTACATGCGACCTCAATAATCTTTCAGCACCTAATTAGCATTTAATTTTTAGGCACTGATAAATAACAAAAAATACCGTTCATACATTATGGTAAGGTAATGGTGGTCGTGGACCCCATAATTCCCAGAATAATATCTTAATCTGTATCGGGTTTCGATAATCGCTCAGCACTTAATCAACACTTAATTAATTGCTATTATTGTTTATCGTATATCTAGTATATCTTGTTAGCGATACGTTTTGCTACAACGCAAATTTCAATCGATCGTTACGGTGAAAATTTTAGAGCACCTAATTTTTAAACTTGGTAGGTACTTAATTAGCACCTAAAAAGCCCTTATTTTGGGCTTTTTCTAAAAGCATTTTTGATTATTTTCTGATTTTCAGAAAATCAGAATTTTGCATCTGCTTTGTTTGGAATAACGACTTTATAGGGCGCCTTCTCATTGCGTATACTTGCAGCACCTAATTAGCACTTAATTCCTTGCTATAAATATTTATCACTTCATTGCGTTGCCAGCGATACGTTTTGCCAGCAACGCAAATTTCAATGGTTCGTTGCGGTGAAAATTTTGGAGCAACTAATTTTTAAACTTGGTACTTAATTAGCACCTAAAAAGCCCCTAATTTGGACTTTTTCTGAAAGCAATTTTGATTGTATTTTGATTTTCAGGAAATCTGAATTTTGCATCTGCTATGCTCTGAATAACGACTTTATTTTTATTAGGGGCGCCTTGTTATTGCGTATACTTGCAGCACCTAATTAGCACTTAATTTCTTGCTATTAATATTTATCGTATATTTAATAACTTCATTGCGTTGCTAGCGAGACGTTTTGCTAGCAACGCAAATTTCAACAGTTCTTTGCGGTGAAAATTTTAGAGCACCAAATTTTTAAACTTGGCACCTAATTAGCACCTAAAAAGCCCCTAATTTTGGATTATTCCAAATACAAATTCCCGACTTTGCGTTGCTAGCGATACACAACTAAGGTTGGCACCAATTGAAACTCGAACCAAAATTCTACGTCATAGTAGCCAGTTAGATTGATCGCTAAACCACGCGGTTACAAATACATTTATTCATGAATTCATGAATACGAGAGGTTGTAATTCTTAAAATACGGTTACACATTTAATTGGAAATTTATATTTTCTTCTTTTTTTTATCGAGGTAAATTTAAATAAAAATTAATGTTGGTTGGTTCGTATTTTATGCGCTGTCACACTATTCATCAGATTGCAGTTATAGGTATAGTACAATTAAGTAACCGTAGGTGGCGCGCGTATCATATCGACTATATTAAGCTGGATTTATGGACTGTGATTAAGCTTTGTTTGTTCGTATTTTATGCGCTGCCATACCGTTATCAGATTGCGGTAAAACTGTCAACTTATTGCTTGCACTTGCGCGAAGGTTATAGGCATAGTA